GAAGGAGGGAGGGAAGGAGGGAAGGAGGGGGGAGGCAGGCTTGCCTCTGCCGCTGACATAAATCTTCCTGTTTGCTCTTGCTGTTTTCTGTTGCTACAAACCGCTGTCCTCTGCCACAGGCTACTCTGCCTTGGAGCCAGCCGAGTAGGGACTAAAAGCTCCACAGACTGTGGGCTAAATAAACCTTTCCTTCCTTACTTCTGAGTGTCTGGTACTTTGTCCCAGCAATGACAGAAAAGTAACCAAGACATCCCCCTCAAGCCCAATCCAAATATGAGCACCTGAGATGAAAACACACTTCTCAGACGAAGTACTAACGACAAATATATGAAAAAACGTTCAACATCACTGGTCACTCAAGAAATGCAAATTAAACTGATGCTGAGCTCCCATCTCACCCCAGAAAGAAAGCTTATGATCAAGAAATCAATTAATAACAAATGCTAGAGGGGCTGTGGGGAAAAAGGAACCTTCTGCACTACTGGTGGGAGTAGACTAGTGCCACCACTGTGGAAATCAGAGTAGAGATTCCTCGAAAAGCTAGGACCGGGGCCAGGGACAAGGCTCAGCTCAGGGCACAAGCACCTGCCTGGCAAGCACAAGGTCCTGAGTATGATTCTCAATATAAAAAAAAAAAAAAAATCATAAAGCAAGAGAAACTTGTAACTAGATGGAAAGCCTTTGATGCCATACTTTTAAGTGAAATAAATCAGACATACATGTGTAAGTATCATTATTGTTTCTCTAGCGTGAGAAATAAAAACCAAAAAGGTATAACAGAAATTATGAAATAGAAATTGTTCAAAAAGAAAGGGAACAGGGGCGAGGAGAGGAAGGAAAGAGACAAAATGAGAAAAGGACAGAATGGAAACAACTGTGTAAGCAGGAAGGAGAAATGGATTGATGGGAAGGGAGGGAATGAGGCGGGGGAGAAGTAAGAGGCATCATGCAGGGCCGGAGACCTAGCCCAGCGGTGCAGCGCCGCTCAGCAGGTGGCGGGTCCTGAATGCAATTCCCAAACCCGCCCATAAAAAAATGTATCATGTACAGGTGCAAATGCCCTGTGAATCTAAACTGTACCAGTATATATATTTAAAAATGGCTCAAGACAATTGTTGGATTGCAGATGTAAGCCTATGAAAGCATTTAAAATACCTGCCTTCTACAAGGAAAACTAAAATACATTTATCTTTAGGACAGCAAAACACTTGCTATGGTTTAAATAAATTTGTTCCCTCCAAATTCATGTTGGAATTTAAACCCCACTGGGAACAACTAAGAGCAAGGAAACTCAATTTGATTATGGTTTAGATGACACCTTTGGGCGGGACTCGGGCTGTGTCCAGATGCCCCTAAGCCCCTGGGCCTTCCAGGTGGGGCTTAGAGGGTGGCTGGGCTAGGAGGTGAGATTGTTGACTATGGATGTGACACTGGGATTAAGGGAGTGAGGCTGGATCAGGGTGCCCCACCCTGGGCGTGGCTAGCCGCTGCTCTGGCTTGCTGCCAGCAGCCTGCTGCCCTCTGTCTGTCCTGCTGTGCCACCTGCCTTGGAACCAGCCGCTGGGGCTGTGTGCTCCTTGGATTCTAGGAGTTGGGTATTCTGTCGCACCAATGAGAAGCGGAGGCAACAGGATTAGATGGGGTGATGAGGGTGGGGCCCCCATGATCAAACACTGGAGGCTTTGTAAGAAAAGGGAGAGAAAC